TATTAATAATTTTCAAATGCTATTGTATTCCATATTTCAAGATTTTGGATCCAACATTGTTGAAATTACTATCCAAAAAATTGGATACCAGATTTTTTTTGGGGGGGATACCAGATTTCAATGCTTGGTATCCTGCCAGGATAGTAAAAAAAATCGTAAAAATCGGGATAGTGGTTGTTGAGCATATTTGTAAGCGCAAGCATAAGCGTAGCCGATGTTGATCATAAATGTGATGTGTATACATTGTATCAAGAGTACATAATAGATATATAATGTATAAATGTATCAAGCGAACCAGACAATGTGTCTAGACAATACGTCTGCAGTGTACTTGTCTGTGCATATTTGTGAATCTGTTTTTATGTTTTTATATAATAATTACATTACATATGATATTAATAATTTTCAAATGCTATTATTGCATATTTCAAGATTTTGGATACCAACATTGTTGAAATTACTATCCAAAAAATGGGATACCAGATTTTGTTTGGGGGGGATACCAGATTTTAATACCTGGTATCCCGAATGGATACCATAATAAAAATCTAATTTCGACCCCTGCCTATGCATTGACAAATATTTCAGAAGTTTTAGATGGTATATTGTACTGTCATCCATTTACCTTTATTTCTTTTTTAAATTGTACCATGTTAACTATTCAAATGCAATAATTTGTTTACAAGTTGGTAACCTTGCACCTCTGTCTAAACACCTATCATGTACAGTGAAATACATATTTTTCATTGATTAATTAACCAGTGTAGAAGTAGCTTGGCTGATTTTATAACTGTGGTTAATTATTGCCACACATTGATTAGGTGGTATTTATTATTAACCATCTATTATAAAGTTTGTGATATAACTCTATAAAAGACAAAAATTTTCGAGTTGCAAATGTTCTTAGTACAGGTGTATACTATGGTGTGCCAAATGAAGGTGATGCATGCGTTAGTACAATAGTTGAACATTACTGCTATAATAGATTAATACGGTATAATTTACTAATTATTCAAATCTTCACACAAAGAGCTTGGATCAATTATGTGTTAGAGTTTCACATAAGAGCCCACAGTTAACCACTAGGGACATAACAGATTCTCTTCAACAGTGCTAAATTTGTGTTTGCCAACCTAGCTGTTAAATTGTAAATTGAATGAGACGTATACTACGCAATATTTTTACAAGTTAAAACATAGTATGTATAAACATATTCGTAGAGTAAATAGTTTTTAATTGCAGTGCAGGTTGTTCATGTGAATTATCATTATCGTGATTCGTATATATGTGTCTGCTCCTATCTGTGTATTTTACTCGATATACAGATTACATATTTAACGCATCTGTAATCTATAGGCAACACGAATTTTCCGTGTTAGAGTCTTCCTATCTATAGTTTACAGTTTCGACCTTGCATTTTTCTGGTAAAAATATAATCTCCTGTTAGATGTGTAGCTAGTCCAGTATTAGAAATTCTGTGCTTTTTAGCTTCCATAGGAATGTTTCCACAGAAATTCTGTAATTTTATTAAAGCTGGTAGTTCCTTTTTATATTACTCAATTTTAATACATGGCTCATATCAGAAATGAGTGTTTTACATTTTTATGGTGCCATTCACAATCTTAAAGATAAGATATAGATATGTATATATATACCTTGCGAAATTATTATACCTTAGGCTTATATATAGCATTTTATAATGTGAAATTTTACTGGAGAGGTATACAAGCGTAAAGCGCGCGTGGCAATCTAGTTTTAGAGCTTGTTTAAACAATGGTTGCAAGTGCACAGGTAAAAACATGGTATGATAACCTCTGATCTCTGAGCTTGCATGTGTTATGCTCTTTAAACTTATCAGTGAAATCTGAAAGTGCCTGTAATTGGTATGATCATGAGTGGGGGATAATACCACATTATTTTTACATGCGGCATCAGGCAGTTAGTACATATTATATATACGTGCTACCCATTGTGTTAATAGACTCTTTGAGGATGTTTTGGTATTCACTTACTGCTCTGAGAAACTGGATAAAAAGCGAAAGTTGTTATCTTTAGAATCGCTTTGTCAATGGCAGATCCGTAAAATACTTTTTTATTACATTGCTCAACCCCTAAACTAGACTGGAAAGGTGAGTTTGAATGTCGCAATTAAAATGGGTACCTTATTAGTCATGCATCACGTAGTGCTATGTGAATGCTCTTGATATTAGGTGCCATTAGTATTGTGAATGGATTGTAGGGAGGATGTTCATGACCACTATCTGTTATTTTTCACAAGTTTTTGCTCTTTAAACAATATTGTTACATAATGAGACAGGAGAGAGTGTATTCGTACGCAACATGAAGTGAATCCTCTATGGGCTGCAGATACCCCACGTATTTGCGTGCAAAGGTAGTGACAGCAGTGACAGCAGGAAGCATTTAACAGGTATTTGAGGTTTCTAAGCACGTACATCGGACTAGATGAAAGGCAACTCGGGATAAGTGATTGCATTTAGTACTTACCAGAAGGCTTTATATTAGTTTTATTTTTATTAGAAACCCACATCCTTTTTTCACGTTTATTACATCGATGTTATAGTTGATCGTATTCTCACCCACTATACGGCCAGTTCTCAAACGTTAACTCAAACGAAGTCGCGTATTATTTTAGCATTATTTTTTTGATAGTATCGTTTAGATTATATTTTCGGAATCAAAGCATTAAATTCCTGCCAACCCTCTGCCAGACCGCTGCGATTGTTGTTGCCGTTAGAAACGGGGCGGGGGAGGCGCGCAGATGTGCGCTAGACGGCTCGAACTCTCGCAAACGACGTTGTGTACAAACTGCGAACGTGCTTTCTGGCAATAGGGTAACAATGAGAGCCGTGACCGGTTCTAGGCTGCCAGTTAGAAGGAGAACGGCAAACGCCGCAGAATAAGTGTGCGTGAATGTGAACGTGCCTACGTTGATATCAAAATATGGAGTGAGAATCGAGGGAAAACGATGTTAAATAGCTGTCTTACTCTGCCGTGTAAACTGTAATCCGTTCATGTGATTAGCTATATAGAACATTTCTCACAAGTAGCATGCATTTAAACATGTCGCATGTTATTTGATCAAGTTTTAACTCGTGGTGGATTGGAAAACCATGTAAACATTAATATTATGCACATCGGCCGTGGTTAATGTAAATTCAAATTGGAAGTGCACATTCTCAGAACGTTTCGTAGTTATGCAAACTGATATTGCTTTGAAGCAAGCGGTGCAGACTTGCATGTTATACACACGTTGAAAGACGTGTATATTAATTCACAATTACACTAAAAAGAATGCCAACGTGTGCGAACGGTATAAAAGCGTGCTGTCGGGCAGTACGGGAGGGTGGCGTGGAGGTTTCTTGGTTTACCCGTTTGCTATTGAAACGTGGGAATGGTTTTTGGGGGCAGCGTAGCCTAGAGCATTGCATGAGTCACATCGATGGG